CCTATACCGTTGGTCCCCGCACGGTAGACAGCATCTGGGCTCTTCTTCTTGGCGGTGTTGACACTTGCGGCAGCAAGGTTGGCCAAGGATGTTGAAAGGTATGGACCGCGTACCTCTGCATATATATGGGCGAGCTCAGAGGATCCACTGTGGTGACTCTCGATGACATATGAATAGACCAGACCAAGCCGAGCTATCTTGTCCTGGGGTAGTGTTGGGAAAGGTTTGTCTTTTGTGATAAAGTGTAACGGCTCGACGGATCGAGGAGTCTCTGCGCGCAGCAATGTTTCGAAATGGGTTTCCAGCTGACTGTTGCCTGACTTGATGAGTCGTGATAAATCGGCCATCGTCTGTTGGTTGGCGCGCAAGTTGGACGCTTTCATCTCGTTCAAGGCCTTGCCTAGACGTTTGATGGAAGCTAGGTAATTGGAGAGACCGGCCTTCTCGGGGCCGACTCGAATGATCTGCTCTTCATCATTTTTGCTATCTGCAGGTTGGCGCAATCGGTCGATAGCGGCCAAGACTGAATCGACGTCTATCCAGTGGTTAGCCGTCAGTATTGGCTGGACATGGACTTCGTTTCTTACTATTGCCCAATATCTGCAGTCGCCTGGTCTCTCCGTTCAGAGGTCCTGCAACATCTTGAACACTTTTCCCTGTCGACTCGAGTCGGTTGAGGCACGATTGGATCTTCTTGGTCAATTGCGTCGTCTTTTCGAGTCGCGAATTGAGGACGTCAACCTCAGCCCTTGCTTCCTCATCTAGAGCGGTATGCGCGTTGCCAGAGAGTCCGACCGACATTGTTCACGAATACCGGTGAATAGCATCCGTTCAGGTAGTGGGGTGGCCTATGTGTGGTAGTATAGGAAAGGCACTGTAGGGAGAGATCATTAAAGTTGAGAGTTATGAGTGCTCCGCGTGGAGGACCATGGGGATCCCAGCGTAAGGCAATGGCACAGGCTTGGCGTATACGGTACCTCCCTCTTGAGACCTGGAGGTCATTACGGGAACTGGCCTAGCTCCCTCAGGAAACGGGGTCCATTGTAGCCACACATCAGCCACCTCTGAAGACCAGGATCAGCTACCACTTTACGCGAAAGAAACGCGATATCTGGAAGGGAGCGCGGACAGGAGCAGCAATTTCGAGCAGCCCCCTAGCAACGCCCCGCCTGGTTTACTTTCACCCCTCGATCTGATTGCAGTACCCCAACCAGGTTCCCGTATCGGCATCACTTTTGACCAAGTCGCTCATTGTAACGATATCACAGAGCAAACGCCGACATGGATTCTTTTATGCTTCAAGACGAAGGCGTGCGCGACCGTATACGTCAAGCGGAAGAATTCCTTGACCCCAGTATGTCCACCGCCCACGCTCCAAAAAGAGTGGTCGTTGTTCAACAGTAAATTTGTGCATGGTTAACCCTTTCCTGCAGATGATCCTCAAGTCCGAAGTTATCGATCCGATATTATTCTTATGCTACAGAAGAACCAGCGTCGATTGACCGTTAACCTCGATCATGTGCGCAACCACAACCCGGACCTCGCACAGGGCCTGTTACAGCAACCCTTCGATTTCACTCTGGCGTTTGATCAGGCCCTGAAGAACATCGTCCAAACCATTCCGCAGGCGCGACCTGACCAGACCGCAAAAGACACCGTTTATTACTGTGCGTGGGCTGGCAGCTTTGGCTTGAACGCTTGCAACCCCCGTACATTATCGTCTCACCTCCTCAACTACATGGTCTCTATCGAGGGTATCGTGACTCGATGTTCTCTCATCCGACCCAAGGTCGTGAAGAGTGTTCACTACAATGAAAAGAAAGACATGTTTCATTTTCGCGAGTACCAGGATCAGACCATGACCAACGGCGTTACCACTTCGAGCGTCTACCCTCGCGAGGACGACGATGGTAACCCGCTTATTACAGAATATGGCTTCTGCACATACCGAGATCATCAGACCATCTCTATCCAGGAAATGCCCGAGCGAGCACCTGCGGGACAGCTTCCTCGTGGAGTGGACGCCATTCTTGACGACGACCTTGTCGATAGTGTGAAGCCCGGCGACCGAGTGCAGCTCGTCGGCATTTATCGAACGCTAGGCAATCGCAATACCAATCACAACAGTGCTCTCTTCAAAACGATGATCCTGACGAACAATGTTGTTTTATTGTCTTCAAAGTCTGGAGGTGGTGTGGCGACTGCAACCATTACCGATACCGACATTCGTAACATCAACAAGGTGGCCAAGAAGAAGAATCTTCTTGAGCTGCTCTCGCAATCGCTTGCCCCCAGTATTTACGGTCACGACTATGTGAAGAAGGCCATATTACTCATGCTTCTGGGTGGTATGGAGAAGAATCTCGAGAATGGAACACATCTGCGTGGAGATATCAACATTCTGATGGTCGGTGACCCGTCCACTGCCAAATCTCAGCTGCTACGCTTCGTCCTCAATACTGCACCGCTCGCGATTGCAACAACGGGCCGTGGCTCCTCGGGTGTTGGTCTCACTGCAGCAGTAACTTCGGATAAGGAGACGGGTGAGCGCCGGCTCGAGGCCGGTGCCATGGTCATGGCTGATCGTGGTGTCGTTTGTATCGATGAATTCGATAAGATGTCAGACGTGGACAGAGTTGCAATCCACGAAGTTATGGAACAGCAGACTGTTACTATCGCAAAAGCGGGTATTCACACATCGCTGAATGCTCGCTGTAGTGTTGTTGCTGCTGCTAATCCTATTTTTGGTCAATATGACCCCCACAAGGATCCTCACAAGAACATCGCACTGCCTGACTCTCTGCTCTCACGTTTCGATTTACTGTTTGTCGTCACAGATGACATCGAGGATACGCGCGATCGACATGTGTCAGAACACGTCCTTCGTATGCACCGATATCGTCAGCCAGGAACAGAAGAAGGCGCTCCCGTACGTGAGCAAGGTGGTCAGTCCCTAGGGGTCTCAGCTTCAAATCAGACTGAGTCCCAGGGGCCAACTGAAGTCTACCAAAAGTATGATGCAATGCTACATTCTGGTGTTACTATCACATCTGGTCGAGGCTCAAACAAGAAGCCCGAAATTCTTAGCATCCCATTCATGAAGAAGTACATCCAATATGCCAAGACAAGAATCAAGCCCATTCTGACACAAGAGGCTTCTGATCGCATCGCTGATATCTATGTCGGTTTACGGAACGACGAGATGGAGGGCAACCAGCGAAGGACCAGTCCTTTGACCGTCCGTACTCTGGAAACCATCATTCGTCTTGCCACAGCACATGCCAAATCTCGCCTGTCGAACAGGGTGGAGGAGCGTGATGCGGCTGCTGCAGAGGGTATCCTACGCTTCGCCCTTTTCAAGGAAGTTGTTGAAGAATCACGGAAGAAGCGGAGAAAGACTCAAACGGTTGATTTCGCATCATCTAGCGACGAGAGTTCCAGTGATGACGAAGACGAAGACGGGGACGTTGCCAATGCCGCACAATCAAACAGGTCGACTTCGAGGGCTACTCGCAACAGCAGTCGTCTCCAAGCGAGAGAAGCCAGTGACACTACCCGGTCCAGCAGAGAACCCGATGTTCCTGAGGATGACTCGCAAAGCACATTGCGACGATCTAGCCGGCGAACACAAGACCAGTCACAATCGCAGACCTCATTTGCGTCGTCAATGCCTGCCTCTCAGCTGCCATCCTCGAACCAGCAGGAGTCGCAGGATGGCGACGATGACCTTGCCAGCGGTGCTGCTGCACTGGCAATTGACGATACTCCCATCAGCTCTGAGCGACTGACAACCTTCCGAACAGCCCTTGGTCAGCTTCTGAACACAGACCTGTTTGAAGATGACGCGGCCGAGTTGGACGCAGTTGTGGAGGCAGTCAATAAAAAGATTGGGAACCGTCGCGATGCATTCGATAAAGGAGAGGCCACAAAGGCGCTACAGAAGATGGGAGAGGCAAACCAGATTATGTAAGTCTCTTTGTTGCAACTGTTCACGCGTTGACTTACTAACATCCATTCCAGGTTCACAGAGGGAGATCTCGTGTACAAGATTTAAAGATCGTAGCGTGTTGGCAATACCAGGCGATCGACTGGCGTTGGGGAGAATTTTTAGTGCATCTATCGGTAGGGTTGATACTGTTATGAAGTTGATAACGACATGGATAACACGGGGTTGGTCAAGTTAAGGTATGTAGTTAATGATTGATGCCAGGTGAATTGGAATTCCGCAAGGGCCTGTGACGGCCTCTTTCAACAACTGAGACTTTGATTCTGGGAGTTGTGACCAACTACCTACCTAAAGGACATGATGAGTCTAAGAAAAGGTCAGGAATAAGAGAAACTCAACCTTTTCCGCTGGTATTGAACCAAGTGTCAATTGCTCAAGATGTGACAAACAAAGCGTCTTTGATTATATTTTTGATCTGTAGCCACAAGTTCTGACGACATGGAATGGATATCTTCTGTTCACTAACAAGAGGATACCTTCTGTACCTGCCTTACGTGTACCAACCTGGGCAGCAGTTTCCGACGTGCCCAACCCACCACGGACACCGCCTAAACCAAAGTCACTTGGAATCGCTCACTCACCCATTCTTTTGAAAGTCGACATCTCTCTCTCTCGGCAACTCTGGTCTACACAACAATTCTATAACTGATTCAATGTTTGTATTAGAGTCACGGTAGTTAATTGCCAGCAAGGAACTGACCCTGGTAGCGTCTGCATCCCTGTTTTTTACGATCCGATTCGCTTCCATACTCAACACCCTGACCGCAAACTCCACCAACCGTTGAATATTTCTATTCCCGACCAGTCTATGAGCTGAGACTGCACAGTTTTTCTGTGGAAAAGACGTTTGGTTATCGAATAGCCAGTTTCTTCGCAACGAATCGTTACCAGTTCCAACGCCTGTCTCATCCTGTCACGCAACTGGTCATTGCTGTTTTTTTGTCTACTTATCTCACCGTCGATATCAGGCGAGAAGCCATATCTCACAAACATCATGGCTGATGTAGCCGAAACTCCAAAAACTGAGCTGCCTACTGATAGCAAGGAGGCTATTGTTGTAGAGGAAGAGAAAAATATAGACCAAACGAAATCCGAAGATGCAGAGGAACACAAAAACGGGGATGTAGGTGCACCAGGCACTGAGCCAGAAGCAGAGGCAGAGGCAGAACCACCAGCAGATAAAACCCCAGAGCATCCACCGTTGGCCATAATTGAGGGCAAGACCAGCGACCCATCAGGCGAAGAAGCTGTTCCAATCGATTTTGTCACGATGGGCATGTTTATAATTGGTGAGAAGACTCATTAACCTAGCCAATGCCCTTTTCTATAAAATTGTTGCGTTACTCGGAATAGACACTAACTTGACTGGAAAGATGATATCGACTTCATTCCACCAACTCCGCCTGTCAAGGACATCCTTGGTGGCGCTGGCACCTACTCGGCCCTTGGAGCTCGCCTGTTCTCACCCCCACCCAAATCTGCTTCAGTTGGCTGGATTGTCGATCAGGGCTCAGATTTCCCGCCTTCTCTCTCTACGCTCATCGATAGCTGGTCCACCTCGGCTCTGTTCCGTCATGACGGGCTTCGGTTGACCACGCGAGGGTGGAATGGCTATGAAGGCACTGCCGAGAAGCGAGCTTTCAAATACCTGACGCCAAAGAAGCGCTTGACTGCTCAGGATCTTACACCAGCGCTGCTTAAATCACGATCATTCCATCTGATATGCTCCCCAAATCGATGTAGGGATCTTGTCTCCGAGATTACCTCACTTCGAAAGAAGGTCGTCCCCCCTGAGGCATATACCAAACCCATCTTCATTTGGGAGCCTGTGCCGGACCTGTGTACCCCTGACGAGTTGCTCAACTGTACCAACTGCTTACCTCTTGTCGATATCTGTAGCCCGAACCATGCAGAACTGGCTGGGTTCATGGGTGACAATGGTCTTGATCCAGAAACAGGTGAGATTTCTACTATTGCTGTAGAACGAGCCTGCGAGCAGCTCCTCGCAAGCATGCCTTTGCAGTCATTCTCTCTTGTTATCCGTGCTGGCGAGAAGGGATGCTACATCGCGAAGAATGGAGGAAGAAAGCGAGGCCGTGACCCCAAGACGACCAAGCGACGAAAGAAAGATTATGTTAGGGGTGGCCTTCAGCCAGATACGGATATGGAGGCTTTGTTTGCCGGCCTTCTCCAGGATGCCGATGGCATTGTGGCTCGCGAAGAAATCGAGGTTGATCCTGGTGTCGAGAAATGGGTTCCTGCCTATCACACTGACCCGTCCAAGGTGGTTGATCCTACGGGTGGTGGAAATACCTTCTTAGGCGGCCTCGGTGTGGCACTGGCTCGAGGCGAGAGTCTCGAGGATGCTGTAGCCTGGGGCACTGTTGCCGCAAGCTTCGCCATTGAGCAGGTCGGTGTTCCAACGATTGGTAGAGATGCAGAAGGCCGCGAGGCTTGGAACGGACATAATGTTGAGGACCGACTACGCGAATTTCGCAAACGTCTATGAATGAAATGAAACATTGGATATATTATATTATATGATGGATTACAGGAATTTTAGAATAATAAGAATAAAGAAGATTTGTTATTTTTAGCTCGAATCAGTAAGCCAGTTCCCATACAATTCTGTAAAGGTAGATGTTTGGGTTTGAGACTATCATAGCTCCAGTCTCTAGGTATTCAGAAACTATTGGTTCCATTGGCTTGGGGAGCAGATACAAGTGTCTTGTCGACAGGGAACTGTAAGGTAGTTTTCTAGAGAAGCGTATCTCGGGACTTTCAGCTAATTCGTGAATACTGATCATTGTGTTCATTTCTGCCTAAAGTGCCCGTGTATACTACGTAGTAGAAGGCCATCTCGAAATTCAAAATGAACATATAAAGAACCTATATGCCCACGTGGCGTTCAATGAATGAATGCCCCAGAAAGTATGGATTAGATTGGATTGGATGATGCAGTGATCAGTCGGCGCTTGATTGCCCGGTTCCGGCGTTGATGGAATGCCTCCTAACGTCTTATATGAACAGAGCAAGCTGTTGCGATCCTTACCCACCTTGGGAGGTGCTCAAGTCTTGCCATACTCCTCTAGGTTAGTCAGTCTTTAAAGCTTGGCCCATTTCTTTAGTATACTTAGACAGTACCAACCACTACGGCACTGTAATACGCTAGCATAAAGTACACTCGTCGTAAATTACGTACTGTTCCCCTGTCCCTGGAATAGTCATCCCTATTTGGATCTTGAACCTCCTGGACCGAGCTCCAATCACCTCACCTCGTCTCATCAATATCTACCTATGCAATTGTCTGTCTGTATTAACTCTCTCTTAGTTTGCATACCTAGCGAAAAAAAAGAAAAGAAAAGAAAAGAAAAAACAGCATTGAGTCAGTCAATCACTAAGCTTGCTGTCTTTTTCTTCGATTTCTGCTTGGCATTAGCTACCTACGACCTATGACTTGAAAGCTACTCGCTGTCCTGTCTTGCGCAACCCACCAAAGCAACTATCCTGTTGCCTGAACACGTCGCTGCCGCCCGATCAACTATTTTTTTTTTTAGGGGGCCCAGGCATATCTTCAGCTTCGATCATATCTAGCGGAACGCTTTCACGTCGTCGCTTCACCCAAATAACAACGCAACAGGCGATTATCCATCATGGCTGCTAACAGTCAGATGCACAACCTAACTACGCTTATCAAGAGGTAAGCTCTTTACGCTTGATGGGTTGTCAATTCCATAAGCGCAGACGCTGATAGCAATCATTCAGGCTTGAGGCTGCAACTTCACGCCTCGAGGATATCGCTTCTTCAACCGAGCCTCCTGCCGATGGCGCTGTTCTCAATCAGGCGATACCTTCACCTCCGAACCCCTCCTTAGCCGCTCCTCCTCCTCTAGCTGCTCCCGATTCCAAGGCCACTACTCCCGCTGCCGCGAAGCCCGAACCTGCCGCTGAGCCGCTGCCTGAATCTATCGAGGAATTCGATGCTTTCCTGAACACTTCCGTCGACAAATATGTGAAGCTGAGCCATCAGCTTGGAGGATTGGTCGCTGAGCAGGTACGCGCAACTATCTGAAAGATTATGAATGGATGCAGAAACTTCCATGAGGCAGGGGCTGATCAGCGTATAATATTAGGCTTCGCTCGTCAAGTCTGGCTTCCAGGAGCAGCGCAAATTTCTCTTGATTTCCACAAAGGCAAAGAAGCCCAACCTCTCCGGGCCTGATCTACCAGTATATGAGAGCCTTATCAAACCCATCAACGAGGCACTCATGGCTGTTACCGAGCTCAAAGACGCCAACCGCCCTAGCCCCATGTACACGCAACTCAGCACTGTCTCCGATGGTATCATGGTTCTCGCATGGGTTACCATTGACACTCGCCCCTATAAGCACGTGGACGAGTGCCTTGGCTCGGCTCAATTCTTCGGTAACAGAGTTCTGAAGGAGCAGAAGGATAAGTAAGTCAGCCTCTTGGGTTAAACGGATCATCTTTAACCAGATTATCAGGGATCCCAAGCAGATCGAATGGGTTCAGAGCTTCTATCAGATGTTCCGCGATCTTGCCGACTATGTCAAGCAATACTTCCCAACGGGTATTCCATGGAACCCCAATGGCCAGCCTGCTCAGGAAGTTCTTAAGTCATTGTCTGCTGGTTCTGCGCCGGCTTCCGCCCCCCCTGCCCCGGCACCTGCTGCTGGTGGTGCTCCTCCACCACCCCCCCCCCTCCTCCTGGCCCTCCCCCTGTCCTTGATATCAAGACTGACGATGCTCCTGCGCCTGCATCATCTGGTGGTTTCGGGGCTGTCTTCTCAGAGCTTAACAAGGGCGATGCTGTTACCAAGGGTCTGCGTAAAGTCGACAAGTCCGAAATGACGCACAAGAACCCTTCTCTTCGCAGTGGCTCAACGGTTTCAAGTGGCCAGAGGGGTAAGAGCCCTGCTCCTGGCAAGAAGCCTAAGCCCGAGAGTATGCGTATCAAGAAGCCAGCCAAGAAGGAACTCGAGGGCAACAAGTGGACTATTGTATGTTTTATTCGCGAGAAGTATTGTAGCATGTTGTTAACTTTTATCAGGAAAACTACGAGAAGGAGGCCGAGCCAATTGAGATTGAGGCTTCACTTACACATTCGGTTCTCATCAGCCGTTGCAACAACACCACTATCATTGTCAGGGGCAAGGCCAACCAGGTCACTGTTGAGAATTCCACTCGCCTGTCCTTGATCGTTGATACCCTTGTTTCGACAGTCGATGTTGTCAAAGCCAACAACTTTGCTCTTCAGGTCATGGGCACTATCCCAACCGTCATGCTGGATCAGGTTGACAGTGCCCAGATCTACTTCAGCAAAGAGAGCATAGGAACCAAAGTTTTCACTAGCAAATCAGCGGGCGTCAACCTCAACGTTATTTCTGGCGAAGATGATGACTACAAGGAGGTGCCTCTGCCTTCGCAAATCTGCTCTTATTACGACGAGTCTAAGGGAGACTTGGTCAACGAAATTGTGGCCCATGCCGGCTAAAGCAGGTGGTATATACCTTGGATCCGCATATGTAGGAGTAGGATAGGATATCGAGACAGATCTTTCTGTCGTGTAGCTATTTGGGCCCGCATCACATGTATCTAGACGTGTAATGGCAACACTGGGGGTGGCGGGCGCCTCTTTTTAGAATTTTGGAACTTTTATCCGTCATTGGTTTGCGTGTGTAATCTATGCTGCCTTTGCTAAAAAAACATGTCGCTCTAATATCTAGTGCCATCTATATGGCATCGCACAAAAAGACGGTCAAGTCTAGAGTACATTGTCCAACAAGTAAAAACGCCGTTGATCTAAACCGCGACAGTATGCCAATCCATTCAACAGCACAAGACTCCTTCCACCTGAGAAATATGTTGTGTGTATATTTACAGTTTAGCCTTGGGGGGCTCGAGAGTAGGTGTGAGTAGCTCACGCATATCGTTAGCTGCCTCGTTGAGGTAGTAGCTCATGCGGTCGCTGCCCAGGCCCTTAGAAACGACATTGAAGTTGAGACTATCGCGACGTTAGTAGCGTTCTTTCTCTATTGAGATTTTGGGTTGCAATACATACCTGTTCTCGTTGATCATATAGGCAATACCGAAACCAGCGTCGATGACCTGGCTCCAGCCGTAACCGTTGAAGAACTCAGAGCTGAGCTGAGAGGTGGACAAGTGCCATGAGCTAGAGTAGCTGTACGCGGGATCCTGGTAGATTGCAGGAACCTCTTGGCCAGGCTCCAGAAGCTTCTTGAGACCGAAAAGATGTCGATCAACTCCCTTACCATCAGAAGCGGCGGTGATATATTCAACGTGGGCATTGATGGCTTTGCGGAAGAGATCCACGCGTGTCTTGTCGTCAACGGAGGAATCAGACATGGACTTGACCCAAGCAACGGAGTCGTCAGAGACAGTTCGGCAAGTCTCAGTACGTCCGAGTTGGAAGCGTCGGGTAGCAGCAGACTCATAAGTAGGTCGACTCTTGCCATACATCTTGTAGTAGGCGAGCTGGATAATCATCTGAACATAAGCATCGGGAGAGCACTTGAACTTCTTGATGAGGCCCTTTCCGTAACCCTGATAGGCCTGAACGGCAAGTTGGTGCTTGCTAATGACATCATTGAAGTCCTGGGTTGCACGATCAATCTCACTCTGGACTTCTTTTGTGATATCGAACTTGACGACTTGTGGTTCAGGCAAGTTGGACCGGATGCTGGGATCAGAGAAATCAAGCTTATTTCCAAAGATGAGGTCGTTGACATAGTCGTTGAGGCGATGAGTGGGAGTACCGTCCATCATGGAGTGCTCACCCATGAAGCCGGAAGTACCATTATCGTTGACAATGAACTGCAGAGGCTTGTCGTACCAGCGGTTGGCGCCATCACCGTGCCAGTACTGGTGAGCACGCTCCTCGAGTGTGACTGGCGCCGCATCATCGAGGCAAACCACGAAAGAGGACGACTCAATGGCCTCCAGAGCGTCCTTGTTCTTGGGGCTAGCCTTGAGCAAGATGTCACGGGCATCAGTCCAGACATCTCTGTTCTCTGAAGTGAGAGCGCCAACAGCAGGAACGCGTTGCGCAAGCTCATAGACACGCTTGAATTGTTGCTCAAGCTCTGAAGTGTTGAGCTGCTTTCCATTAACCTCGTGTTGGATCTTGAAGAACTGGTTCTTGCGAATAGCAATAATGTGTTTGTTTTGTTCAGGCGAGAACTTGACAGGGTAGTCGGCTGGCTTAGCCGCAACACGGGAAACGTTAAACATCCACTTGTAGCTGTCCATGCAGATGGGCAACTTCTTCATGTACTCTGGCTCGAGGGTGCCGGCGTCAACCTGCTTCTTGAACTCGAGGGCAGAGGTTGTGATTGCAGCAGCTCGCTTTGCGGGGTCTCTTCTTCGTCGGTCGTCCCGGTGAGAGTAGAAGTAGCTGACGTAGGGGACGACAGGATCGCGGTATGAGAGATAGGCTGCATCGTTCCACCACTCGTAAATCCAGTTCTTGGTGTTGGGGTCCTCGCGCTTGGCTACCAACTTCTCCTGAAGCTTGGAGCCTACACCACCAGGGCGCACAAACTCCTCGACGGCCTTCTTGCTGGCCTCGTACTCGCTGGCAGATAGTAAGGGGTGGAGTGACTTGAGATAACGCTTCGCAGTCTCTTCGAGTGTTGGGACGGGCAATCGAGGGAGAGAGTCTTGCCATCGCAGCATGGGTCCCTTGGAGTGGTTCTCAACATAGCCTGCTCGTAATCCGTATCAGCATGTTGGATCCGAGTATTTCAGGTTCAAATGGGGGGTTAGCGCATACCTGAGGAGGCGGCGGAGCTGTTGGCTCGCTTGGTGGGTGCCATGATGAGAGTTCGCGCCTGTTTATCAAATTGTCAGATACTTTTGTCATCCAGAGCAGACGAGTTGCATGGTGAAATGGGTGAAAACGATCGACTCGTCTATCATGGATCCGGGCAGGTGGAGCATTCAATCACAAACAATCCTAAGACCCTAGTTCCTGTCGCCCGCCAATGACTCGGCACCCATCCATCAGTGAGAGATAGAGAATAGCCGATCGATTGATGGCCATGCCTTTCTCTTTGTCTACCACATGGGAAGATGCCTCACACAAGGGCAAAGGTGTAGGTAGTTGTCATGATAATCGGGTTGACTTACAGCGCGTGTCTTGGTGAAGTTACGGAAGCTGTTCCTAAGGGCGGGCGAGCGGGCTGAAGTCAACAACATGGCCAACGCGAAAGACAAACGATCAGAGAAGAGTAGGAAACGTCGAGACGGGAATCGAAAGAGTTGGGGTAGATATGTATGCGCCAAATGTTGTCGGGCCTCTATATTAGAATAGTAACAGTGCCGGTTTCGCACACGACGCTTATTGCTCTGGCCTCGGCTCAGAAGACGGCAGGCTTCCAGAATGGAGTCGATTGCCCAGTAGAGTAGAGTAGAGTAGAGTAGGGACAAGGGTCACAGACACAACGATATCAGACCAGCGCGAGACTTGTTATGGAGTAGCTGACAGCCAAATACTACGTTTGCTTGTGACCGAGACGTCACCCGGGCCCCTCAAAAGCCTTGGGCCGAGGTACGAACTTTCAAGGGCCGACGGGACTGGGGCAAGGGACACAGTTTCCAGCCAATCATGTATTTCTTAGACGCCTGTCTAGATCCACCGTCTCCGAGGCAATCATTTGAGCCTCTTCTGGGGAAATAGTTACTCCAATCTGACCCTGTTTCAACTACAAGGGTTGGAGAAAGTCGAAGCATTTTCTAATCAAAGTCGGCTTAATCTGCTCTTTTTAAATGCTCACATGCCTCCGGTCATTCTTCACAAGTAATCCACCGATTTACACTACTTCGCCATAATAAGAACCAACGCCAAAGCCTCACTCTTCCCCAGTTTTCCTTATTCGTGGGGAAGTGGAGAGCTCATCTCCATTTGATGTTGCTTTGTTCCCTTGGCCCATTGTCATCTTCCAAGCCCTCAAATCGTCGTACGGAATCCTGTGAACTTCGTCTCTTACACTGTATATACTGTCTCTTCCCCGTTGGCCCGATGATGGATGTGATTTGGCACACACAAGATGAACTACCTTAATCAATTAGACTTGACTCCTAATACTTTCTGTACTCGCATTGCAAAAACTGCAGAACTCAACATACATAGTACAATCTGACAGTCATGGATTACACAATAAGAGAAATCGATAGCAGAGAGCATAGCAGCTAACATAAAACATTCCAATTCGCCAATTTACAACCCAGCCGTTCATTGACCAAATAATTTCTGCTGCAACAAAACCACCAAGGCATCTATACCCATGTACTAGTACACCCTCCACATCCACAGAAGACTAGATCAACTTGCAGGCCTTGTGCCCATCAATGGCCAAGTTACTTTTGAAGAACTTCCCAAGTTGTCTCTTTCAGTGATTGTAGAGACCCCTGAAAGATGTGCTTCAATCGCATCCGTCTCATTTTAAGCGGCATCACGCAGACGCAGCTCATATTAGGTGACGGATAGCGGCGCAGCTTGAGATCGGGGATGATTCCGGTACTTCAATTCCTCGTACCAACCAGACGCCGTGACTTTGATTCCAAGTGTCCAAATATTGCTTTCCCCTGATTAGAGCTCATGCTTATCCACTCTCAACTCCGTCCTTCATGCCTCATAGCTCTTGATTTGGCCATCACTGCTGGGAGGGGGGACAGCCTGCGCGCCTGGGGCAGCCTGGAAGCTCAACCGGTCACCTTCACTCATGGCTTCTTGTGCAAGTCGTACGCCTTGTTCTCCTCCAACGGCCGCGGCAGCCTTCAGACCCTCCTGCACTTCTCGAACTCTACGTCGGAAGGTCAATCGGTCGAGGAACAGCTGCTGCCTTGCCCGTTCAAGCTCTCGTCGCTCCGCGCGCAAGACAGCCTCCATCTCGTCGAAATACTTGAGCTTCAACTCAAGTTTTTGTAGTGTCACATTTGAAGCAGCGGACACCAGGCGAGTCATCTCACGTTCTTCATGAGATGCAAATCCGGCGGCCCTAGCACCTATTGAAGCCAAAGGAATCGATGCAAGGGCATTAGTCTTTGTGGTGGTCGTCGTAGTTGTGGTTGTAGTCGTCGTGGTCTCTTGTCGGAGGTCGATATCCATTGAATCGCTCTTGGGTTTGCTGTCACCATTGGACTGGGAATCATCATCGGCCTTGTCGCCGTCGAGCTGCTTGCGGAGCCTGCGCTTGAGCTCTTCGGCAGATTTGCTTGCGGCCGCTGCCGTACTGGCTGGGTCTGCCAAGCTAGCCAGGAAACCGACGACAGACATCACAGGATTATCAACTTGGCTGAAGGGAAGCTGTCCTTGCTGAGGGCCAAGCATTGACAGGCCAGTCGGGGCACTGATGGGAGCCTCGGAGTCCAGATACTTCTCCTCGATATCCAGCTGGAGGAATTGGAGAACGCACTCTTCTCGTGTGCGGGTACCAACATGCTCTGCAATCTCACCCCAGTCGTCGTCGAATCGCTCGAGGCCTTCAAGGAGTCGCAGAATCTCGGCATCTGTCCAGGGAGCATCGCGGTCCAGGGTCGATGTGTAAGTGGGGTTCTCCATTTTCACGTACATGTTGCTGTTATGGTTGGCAGGCAGGCGACCCTCAGTGAAGCAGTTAGGGCAAAGGTCATATTTGGCCTTGGGGTTGGCATCTGTATGGTTGCTGTGATAGTATATCCGAGTGCAATCATTGCCGCACTGGTGGCAATGGACCTTGGCGATGGGGGTCTTGGTGGCATCGTCGACACCAGCTGCGCCATTAGTGGCTGGCGTCTCACCGTTGGTCTTGCCCTCAGTCTTGCTGATGAGGGTATTCTTAGCATTGGCCTCGTAAATATTTCGTCCAATTTCGAGGTTCTGCTCTCCCTTGGCAGGAGCGGCAGCGGCAGCCTTTTGGTCGGTATCTTGGCTCTTCTTGCCTTCCAAAACCACAGGGTCGGCAGAAGGTTGCCACGCCTGCAGGCCTCGAGGAGTGTCGCATATGATCTTGAAGTGGCCAGTGAAGGGCGGCCCAACGTGTGATGGGCGTTGCTCGGCGTCAACCTATTGGATGTCAGAAAACCTAAAAATGCCGTTGAGAAAAACACCTTACCTGATAGTTGATCAAGCCCCATTGCTCCAAGAAGGCGTGGACGCGCATAATAGCGCAGACATCGCCAGCCAAGTTCCTGCGGCAGGCTGTGACTGTCAGATATTCAACAGGGTTGAGGCGATATGTGTTTATCATAAAATCGCGGTAATCCTTGTAGACAGCTGGTGTTTTGCTTCGGTTGCGGTTGTTGAAGAACTCGGCCATGGCTTTGCGCTCGATTTCGTGGATAGCGTTCATGTCGAACCAGGTACTATAGCTGGGAAGGACAATCGCGTGAGTCTGCGCGATGAGATGGTCGCGAGCAGCCGACTCGACAACCTCCTTTGATTTGGATTCTTGACCATCTGTAGCGGCCGCTCCATCCTCCTTCGTCTTGGCATCATCAGCGGGCGCATCGTTCATCTCCTCATCGCCTCGAGCTGGATGTTTCAGTAAATATTCCATCGCATATCAGATAGTCTAGTTACCTGGCGCAGGAGTTGTACTATCATGTTTGATGTTTGATTCAGTAGCCAATCCCTCGGTCATCTGGATGTCTATTATTTCCCATGAGTAACATGTTTAAACGAGGGAGCAGCAATCGCAATGCGCACATACCTTCGCTGTCGCCCGCACCTGAGTCTGGCTGTAGGGGAGGCTGCGCGAGGATAGGGTTGCTGTTGGGCGAAGCACCGTTGCCGGGCGAGCCATAGGTAGCAGTGTCGTCCATCTTTATGGTTACCGCGATCAGACCGTGAGCGGTAGTTCAGGACGGCGAATCAATCGAGCGCGCACAATCGGATTCTTGTACGATGGTTGGCGAACAGAAAATCACGGAGCAGCAGGCAGATGATTGTTCGTAGGTCGTCGAGAATTCGATGTCGCTAGCGTCGTGATGTTGATGGAGTCTGGCGATGAAATGAGTCGCGTCTTGGAGAAATTTTGGCGCGAACTGACTGGCCTCAGCTTCATGACATTTGGACGCGCAGTTCCAGGGGAAAGAGCTGCGTCACGTGGTATCAATATTAGCTAAGCATTGTGCACTGACCAGCTTCCTAACAGCTAATTCATTAACGAGATCCAACGCCAACGATTGATACTCAAATGCTTTCTGTTTATAGAGGCTATAACAGTTCTCTATGTACGCTTTCAAGTCTGCTGATAAGATTGTACTCATCAGTTGGTCTAGTCGTGAGCTTGTCAACGCAGTTCTGAAATATCTAAATGCCGGCTAAGATCCAGCCCATTGCGGTTGTCTTTACGATCCAATACCATGTGCTACCCACGCAGTAGGACGAACTCAGATCAACAGAATAAACATCACGTATAGACTTACATTGTGAAGGCATCTCATTAAGTTGGAAGGCAGATCAAGAGTATGTATTTTATGATACTCAAGCTGTCATGTGAATGGATATCAGTTAAGCCGATTCGGCATTTTAGTCCACATGCCGTCGGTTCCCGGTCTGGCCGATGGCGGCGGTAGAGCAAGTGGCCTCGACCTCGGGCCGTTAACAACCGTCGCCGACTTAACCTACTATACCTACATCACTCACTCTTGGAGAGGGCAGTTGAATTGCCATCACCACAACTCAACCACACCCTCATGATGCTTCCAACCGCGAAACGAGTGCTGGCACAGAGGGCTACTGGCCTCATGGCGCGCGCGCACGCCTACAGCCTCGGCACACAACGGCAGCGCCTGCAATCCACATTGGCAATCCTCGAACAGAAGGATGGTGTACTCAACCACAGCTCATTGAGCGCTTTCACAGCTGCGAAGAAGCTGGGTGGACCAGTACACGGTTTTATCGCTGGCAGCAACATCAAGCCTGTAGCTGAGGAGATTGCCAAGGCTGAGGGCGTCGAAAAGATTATTGCCGTCGATAACAGTGCATATGAGAAGGTTGGTGGTTTGGTCCATAAACCCAATTACGCGCGCGCAACAACTAACTCTCAAACAAGGGTCTCCCCGAGAACTATGCTCCTCTCTTGGTTGAGAATATCAAGAAGGGTGGTTATACACACGTCATCGCAGGCCACACTGCATTTGGCAAGAGTGTCATGCCTCGAGTCGCCGCTCTGCTCGATTCGCAACAGATCTCAGATATCACAGCAATTGAGAACGAGAACACATTCGTCCGTCCCATCTACGCCGGTAACGCGATCGCCACTGTCGAGTCTTCGGACTCCGTCAAGGTCATCACTATTCGAGGAACTGCTTTCGCCGCTGGTCCCCTAGAGGGAGGTTCCGCCACTGTCGAGGATGGAGTTGACTCCAAGCCCGAGTCACCTACTGAGTGGGTGTCAGAAGATTTGGCCAAGTCAGATCGTCCTGATCTTTCGACTGCCAGCCGCGTCGTGTCTGGAGGCCGTGGTCTCAAGTCCAAGGAGGAGTTCGACAAGGTCATGCTTCCTCTCGCTGATGCCCTTGGTGCCGCCGTTGGTGCCTCTCGTGCTGCTGTTGACAGTGGCTATGCCGATAACAGTCTGCAGGTGGGTCAAACAGGCAAGGTTGTTGCCCCTCAATTGTACATGGCCGTGGGCATCTCGGGTGCAATTCAGCATCTTGCAGGTATGAAGGATAGTAAAGTCATTGCTGCGATTAACAAGGATCCCGATGCTCCCATCTTCCAGGTTGCCGATGTCGGTCTGGTTGGTGACTTATTCGAAAAGGTACCTGAGCTGACTGAGAAAGTCAAGAGCTCCTAAACATCTAGATGTACAGGGTGTGAGGTACAGAGTGATGTAATATACAAACAGTTAAAGTGCCCGTCTCTGGCGTTATTCGAGAACAGCCAACATGTCATCCGTGCTCGTGAACTTTTCTCTCTCTTTGCCGCTCTTCTGTCCGCGATCTCGTTCTGCGCGGTCAATTTGCCGCCAGTCGTCCCACGCAACAGCTCGGCATGTTGATGGCCCAGCATCGTGTCTCAGGCCCTCCCACCCAGTCACACTGTCATGATTTGAAGCGTTGAGAAAGCTGCCTCCTGATAGCCAGTCATGAACAATCGCATCACCCGTCGTGAAGGCATCCTGCATCGTCGATGCGATCACTCCTGTCGGACCGTTCTTGACCCAACCGGCGCAGTATACTCCGGGGACCCTCTCATTGTGAACCCCTCCAGCATGCGTATCTGAAACCATCCTCGTCACTCTACCAAGGCCATCGTTGTCGACAACGCCGCGACGATCATCAAATTGAATGCCGATTTCAGCAAACCCGGGCAGGGCTACGGATTTGTATCCGACGGAGCGGAAGACGACATCAGATGGCAAGATAGTGGTCTTGCCTGTGGTTTTGACAGATGATTTGGGGTCAAATGGTGAGGCAAGTTCTGTAATGTCGAATTCCGTACTTGCCACCTTGGAAGGTGCATCCTGGTTTCCGAGAAAATGCTTTGGTGAGAGACAGCTATCCAAAGACCATGACTTGGAAGCTGTCTCATGAGGGGTTGATGAGCCCTTCACCAGTACTTCCATGAGTCGTTTTGAGGCACGTGGCAAAGACTTGAGATCCTCAGGAATGAGTGATCGATTGAAGGGCAAAAACCCTACGTCTTTTAGTTTCATGAGTTCTCGCACCTCCTTGATGGTGAATGAAGCCTGTGGTGTATTAGAGTTGTGATATATTAAGCCACCGATTGTAAGACATACCTGCATCGGCCCTCTTCTTCCTACTACATGGACTCTCTTAACCCTGCTTCTGGATAGCGTCTCGAGCGCATTCTCTGTAATATCTGTTTTTCTGAGAACGTCAATGTCCTCCAGAAGCATCCGTGCGACATCAAGAGCAACATTTCCTTGGCCGATGACCACAGCTTCCTCAGCTTGTGAGAGGTCCAGGTCTAAGCCTGAACATCCAGGCAGACCGTTGTACCATCCTACAACTTCACGCGCTGAGTGAATACCGCTGAGGGTCGACTCGCCTGGGATACCAAGTTTCTTGTCTTCAGATGCTCCATATGCGAAAAGAATAGCATCATAGTGCTGCATGAGGTTCTGCAACTCTATTGTACAATGTTTTGAAGAGTTGCCGGGATGACCAATAGAAACATTCCCAATGAATGTGAAATTAGGCTGTGATGCAATTTCATCAAACTTATCTTGGCAATTCTGTACGATTATGTGAGTGTTCTAGTCTACAAATTGCTCTATAGGGTAACCGACCTTGACCTCAGGATGATCTGGAGCAACACCATGACGAACCAGACCGAACGGTACTGGAAGACTCTCGTACATGTCAACTTTCACTCCTGGCACTTTCCCCATTACTCGGTAGGCAGTATAGAATCCGGCTGGTCCAGATCCTACCACTGCCATGCGAAATGGCGCATCCGGAGATCGAGAGCTTTGCTGGACCGCGGAGGAGAAATATCGAACAGAAATTACATTGGAGACCTGAGGAATTGTGTCGAGGCGACCGAAGCGCCGCGCTATTGACAACATCATTTTCCACGGTTGGTGAGGTGATGTTTTGATCTTGTAGTCAAGACCAATCAATCAATGACTGAGAAGTGACTCTTTATTCATTCAAGGAATAACGGGTCTATCACCGACCGGTCTTGGCCAGGGCCCGACCTCCGATGCGGCGCACTACGTGGTACAGAATGCGGCAAGCGTCGCGTTGCTGTGCCAACACGACCCGCCCCATGTACACAAGTTTCGTAAGAGACATGCGACACCATTGTTCTCAATCCCAAATCCAAGACCCTCTCTCGGCTCCCCAGTTTCTCGGATAACAATCTCATTATAACGACTCGCCTGTCGTGCGTGATTAACAAACGAGTCCATTCCCCGCCCATATCGTATCGTCTTCATTCCAGCACAAGGCGCACAATACAACCACCAATTTACTATCGCGCAACATCAGGCGCATCGCGCTGCGACTACAGACATGGCTCCGTCGCAAGCGCCTTTTCTTTACAGCGCCGTCCATAGTGACTCGCGCTTCCCGGAGCCCAAGTTTGATCCCAAGGCTGTCACAAGAGCAAGCTGGACACCTCCTAAGCCGCGAAAGAAGCCCGATGGACCGCTTGTGTCTTTCAACAGACATCCTGAGTGAGTACTATGGGCATTGCCTCAGCGTCAGATCTCAATGCTAACTATTCCTCAGTATGCATGAGGTTCTTACCTATAGAACTAACGAGTATGCTTCCATGAGCCCGCGGAGTAAGAGCTTCATCAAATGGCTCCGACATGTTCAGTCTGCGCTGCGCGTACTGCAGCTGGTGTCAGCTCTTGGACTGCTTGCGCTGATGATCCTGATTGACAAGGTGCCCAGTCTGGAAGGCTGGGTTATGAGAATTACTGTAAGAGCCCAATCCCCCACAGTGTTTGCAAGCTGTAACTGACGTATGATGTAGCCTGGCGTGGTGATATTACACTGCATCTATGGAATTTACCACCTCTCTCGCGACGCCGCAGGACGATCGCCTGCATCTTCTGCATCATATCAGCTCTTCTGCGGTGTCACTGACCTTGGTGTCGCACCTCTCTATGCCTTCGGTGCCTTATCAGTGCGCACCAAGAGTGAAGCCTGGATCACCCGGCTCTCGGACCAGTCGCTCATGAATACCTTCAAGCCTGTTCTTTTCTACACCTTCGTTTCAGCCGGTGGTCTTCATCTCATCAGCTTAGCGATTGCTGGTTGGCTGGGCTTCATGTTCCGCAAGATCAGCTTGATGCCTCCTGATATGAACCCTCTCGAGAGTCACTTGACTGCTCGACCAATGCACAAGAGGAACAAGTCGTCGGTGATGACTGCTAGCACCATGGATAGTAACGCCCGCCTGTCGACGCCCCGAAGCGCTCGACGGGAATCTCTCGTGCCTCAAGAAGGTATTCATGATGGCATTGAAGCACCGCGCGTTATTCCTTTCACTCATACCCGCAACGGATCGAGCACGACAATTGGAACTCGAGACTCTCGGACCAAGTTCCCGCCACCTCCACAGTACCAGAGGGGTCCCGGAAGCCCTCGTCGTGAGCGTCGCGATTCTGCTGCTTCAAGGGCGACTACACGAACTACTGCTACTCGTTCAATCTACCATGACGCCTATAGCGAAATTCCGCTCGACGAACAGGCCGGATCTCGCCCGTCCAGCAGCTACAACAGGCATAGTCAACCTCGCCCCGCCAGATTTACTGAGACCTGGATGCCTACTGATTCACTCATCTCTCGAACAAATCAACGAAACCGTGAAATGGAAGCGGCAAAGACAAGTGCTGCGAACCGCGAGAACAAGTCATATGAGGCCTTGGCTCAGCGATACGCTCACGATGATTCTGATTCCGATTATGGTGACGAGAACAACCCATCTTACGACCTTGGTGTTAATGGTGATGAGCTTCGACCTCATCCCCTTCGCCTGAACCCCCCTGCCGCACAGCAAGAACGCAAATCCCCCCCTCGAGCCAAGACACCTTTCTTCCCATTCAAGAACTCATTGACCGATATCAGCTCAAACGCAAGACGCGTTAGTGCGAGCAGGGATATCGCTGATGAGAAGCCAGCTTTGGCTCCCCGCAACCGTCAGAGCTCTATTCAACCAGAGTCTGAGTTTTATGCGAGGTCTTACGGAGAACTTCAGAGTGCAACTCCTCCTATTATCATTGGCAGCGATAACCGCAAGGTCTCCACGGGTAATGACTACAATCAGAATACTTCACCGGCATATGGACGACGTAATGTCAGTGGTAAGATGGTGGAGGAAGGCCGAGCGGCAGGGAACCGATATTCTTTTCTTGACGGGCGTAACCCCCTCGCGGAAAGGAGATGAGATTGCGGAAATATGTGTTCGAGTGTTGTTTATGATTTTTATTGTAGGATGCGTCAAGGTTTGAATGTTTGGCAAGGATAAGGTTTGGGGACATGGCAAGATATCCGGATATGTAGTTTATTAGGTAGTTTTGGTGTTTGATAATACAAAAGTCTCAAATAATGAATTTCTCCCACATTTAACCGTTACTGAATAGTCCTATTCACCATTTAAGTACGCTCGCCAAGATACCGATGGACCCTGCAAGTTGTCGTCCCTCCACCCCTTCGCATCCCACGAGTCCAATTGACACAGATGTCTCATTGTTGGACGGCCATGCGGGCAGTTCCAAGGCTTGTCTAACTCTGCCATATGCCGCACAAGCGTCTCCATTTGACCATGCGTCAAAGCCTTCCCAATCATGACGCTGCTGCGACATGCCCTAGATGCAAACATCTTCCTCACTTTAGAGGGACGGGGTATATGTTTCGACTCGGACGATTCCTCACCAAGCAATGCTATCAACTCTTCAAGGTCAGTGATCGAGAAAGTCACCTCACGACTCATGGGAAGCGCCAGCACTTCACACCTTGAGCCCACAGGTTCATCTCCGCTCATGTCGACATGGACCTTGAACCCATTAGCCTCAATGGCAGGGATATTTTGTAACACAATTTCTTCTTCCAGTGCTGTCAACTCCAGCCTTTTCGGGTGGACCAGGCGTTGAGACTGTACTGTTTGAATCTCTTGCAATCTCTCAAAGTTATACTTCTCGTCTGTTGCGTGTTGGTCAATGATGAACAACTCATTCTTCTGAGCTTCCTCCAGGTCCTCCTCCGACCCTGTGCTCGCGGGACGTGTCGCGATGATGAAACCCATGTTGAATTGCCCAGCTATCCTCATTCTTAGAAAGTCTTTGCGAGCTATAGTAAGTGACAATTTCTCTTCCGCATTGGCTGCAGCAAGATCTGTCACTTCATCATCGACAGTCGTAAAGTCTTGACTTGGACTGAGGCTACTCCTCCATGATTCCAGCCCCAGTTTTATGAGACTCTCGTCCGTTCGTAGGTATTGTAGTAGTTGGGCTGTAGACTCTTTCTTCCGTACACTAGACTTGAGAGATTGAGTCTTATGATCAGTCGTGACAGGTTCCCCCGCAAATGTCAAGGGCGTAATATCAGACAAGTCATTTGTTTCCATCTGCTTGCCTGGTCTATCGCTCCCAGGGGCCGGAATAGCTGGTCCACTGACAGCTTCCCCATCCTTGTTCGCGTTGAATGTGTCATTGTCGCTGTTTGTATCTGTGTCTTCAGAATCAGAGATCACTCCACCGTCAGAGCCCTTGCCCGCTTGCTCTTGACGAAAAGGTACCTTCCTATCTGTCGTGCCGCTGCCAGCTGCGTATATCTGTGTCAAGCGGCTTCCGAAGGAGGGCTTTGGATCGTCAACGTCCATTTCATCCTCAGAGACCGCCACATTACTCGCATGATGATCGGGAGTACTCGCAGCGTTCTGTATGATCTCGTCACCAATAACTATCGTAGCGGTCTCTGATGCTGTTTTTTCCCGTGGCGTTTTTACTGGACTAGTGTGTGAACTTCCCGCCTGCCCACGCCTCAGTGGTTTCGTAGCAGGAATCTGAGGATCATTCTCAAGCAATTCTGATGGTTTGTGCTTGGTGGGAGAAGAGACAGTCTTTGCGACACTGTTTGCTTTCAGTTGCTTGTTGAAATCGCGCACAGGGAGTGGCTTCTCAGCATCATTTTCATCACTGTCTGATGAGAGCGAGGGACTCCCGATGAAGAGGCTCGGCTCTTCTCGCCTAGTAGAAGTCCGTACGGATGGACTTTGATTCTGTGCGAAATTTGATGCTGCGCTGCCTCGGTCTATTGGCCGCGATGTTGAACCCCTCTCTACCCAGCCACTGATCAGATTTTGACTACTGATGTTTTTCTCCAGTGATTTTGACCCGCCAACCCTCCTTACAGCGCCAAGCGGTACCTTGGGAACGGGGCTGCTCTCGTCGCTATCTTCATCCGATTCGACTTCAGGCTGAGAATCTTCTAGGGGCTTATGAGGAGTGATCGATAGTGGTTTGAGGGGTGTGTTAGTGGTTGATTGCTTCTCAGTGCGGTTCTTAAATGGCAAAAGCTGAGAGGTCGGAACTGAGTAGTCTTGCGAGTCGAAGAGGGCTATGAGAGAAGTGCGTAGGTTATCAAGGAGTTGGTTTTGATCATGCAATAATATACTCCTCTTATCTGGACTCACATTGACGTCGTACATGTGGGTATCGAGCTGAATATCCGCTAGAATAAAAGGAGCTTGTGAGCTGTTGTAAGCTTTGTACACCTCATTGAATGCCTTTGCGAACTGGGGTAAGCCACATGGTCTCCCGTTCACAAAGAACATCTGGCGATCTGGAGTTTGGCGTCCATCGCCATGAGAAGGCCGCGAAACATGCCCCACGACACGGACACCCCTAGAGCTTGATTTATGTTTTTGGTCAATTTGCAAAGCTGGGCCACCTGTGGAAGGATGCATTTCTAGAGTCAAATCGAGGGGTACAAGGACCGTCATCGTTTTTGCACCAAATATATTGATGATGTTTTCTCTTGTTGTCGGATTACCCTTGGTCGAGAATAGGTGAATCCTTTTCCCTTTGGTAGGTTGCTGAGATACGGAAAATTTGAG